TTATACTCTATCTAGCGTTGCCACGCTCGTCCATTTTCGTCATCTCTTTCCTGAGTTATGATCTCTAGAAGTCATCACTATCACATTGTCCGAGGACTTGACTCAACCTAATATAATACCGAAAAGCGCTACCTTGTCGATTGTTACGAATTGTTACATTTATGTTTGGCTGACCTTGTTGTTGTAGTGATAGAATCGCACATTTCCCGCAACCAGTCCCGCTAGTTCGAGGAAGTCGTGCCACCCCATTCTGCCCAGAAATAGACTATAGGGAAATAAGGGACAAGCTAGAACTGTCCTATTCGGTATACAGTAGCATCTTTCATCGTCAAATCATTTTTCAAAGTTACTGTAGAAGTTTTCTGGATGTTCTTCCCGAATTATAAACAGCTAGCGCTATCATTTTCTTTCAAAATTTAAAGGCAACATATGTATGCCAAAAGACAGATATGAGCTAATTTCAATATTGGATACGAATGCAGTAGTAACTCGTGTGATCTGAACTCATAGACGACAAAATCGTCTGCTTCTGCAGCACTTATTGGCACTACCTGGTTGAATGCGACGCGACGCGTTTCTGTCAATTTAGTTGGGAGAATTCTAATCTTATTTACGACCTGTCACAGTACTTTGAACCTTAATGCAATTATTATGTTTTCAATGGCACAGTTCACAAACAAATGGTGCTTTCCTTTTAACATAAAGAAATAATCTTGGGGCTGGTATCTTCTCCCCGAACAGGGTGTTGTGTTCGCCGCACGCGATCGTGCGTTGTGATGGGAAAGATTCGTATTCCCAGTAGAAGGATACGGAGAGTCGTCGCGGATTCACTACGGCAAGCCGTGGGAACTCGGGGAGAAGTTGCGTCACCCAATAGTCTTGAACGGGATATTTGGGCCCTTATTCCGGTAATGCAGTTGTGCCACAGATGTTCTGTGACAGAGATGCAAGTCTTCTTGGTAGAGGCTCCTTCTTCAAAAGAATTCGTATTCTTTCCAATTCTTGCGCCGATGCTGTTTGCCTTCTTGTATTGGAATTGTGTAGGACACACCTTCAAAAATGTCACAGTTTTTCAATGTCCTATGTTAAAGCCACATACGAGTAATCTTCATATCCAATCGCGAAAAACTTTATTCTTAGAAATATGTTGCTGCAAACGACTTCACCTTGTCGTGCCACAATATGATCTCCTTGCCTTGGAATACCATGCTCTTTTTGTTTACCTTCATTCTCTTTGTCTTATATTTTCGCCGCTCCCACATTTCACACATCATCCCACTTACTGTTCAAGGTTCAATATAGCACGGCTCTCCGATATCTTGTATAGTCACACTCTTTACTGCATTTATCGAGCTTACGGCTCTCAGAATAGGCTTCGAGAGTATTTCGGTTGGACGGTTTACCGCCATGCGATGATTTTTGGATGCGCGTGGGGTCCTAAATCGTGACAGAATGCAAATTCAAAGAAGAAGGTAAAACAAAACAAAAGACTCTCGACTAAAAACAAAAATGTGAGGGAAAGGACGCCACGTAGATCTGCTGTGAAAGTAGTGAATATTAGTGAAGGGCGTTCGCAATTTCAACGTAATGCATTGTATCCCACCTTTTTTTATGATTGCTATGGCTAAGTACGAATGTCGCTCGAGGTCTCGGTCGAGGTTGAATAATTGTGGAGTCCATTTCCGGCATTGGATTCTAAAGCATTCGCTAAATTCTGAATCCGTTCATCCAAAATTATCTGATTGATTCACACTACCTGATTCATACTTCGACGTGCGTGCCGGCACGCAGGTGGAAACGCAGGTATAATTTCACGTGCGACGTGCAAGCGGCTATGCGACGGCGGCGCTATCCAAGTGTGTGACTGCAGTGGCTACTTTCAGAGTTCGACGACCGTCCGTCCGTCGGTTCAGCGCGTGCTGCGACGGCAGTTGCTAGAGTAGTGTTGACAGCGCTGGCACGTGATCCAGTGTTGTCAACAACGGTCAGGCGCCGCCGTCGCAGCACGCGCTGAACGGACGGACGGACGGACGGACGGATGAATCGTTGAGGTCTGAAAGCAGCCAGTGGCGCGTGCAATGTTGTCAACACCTCTCTAGCGCCGCCGTCGCATAGCGCTCGCACGCCGCACGCAAAACTGGGTGCTAAGTGGGCTGGGGGGGAGACCACGCGGCGCGGCAACCTGCGATCTCCAGCGGGATAGTAGAGAAGGAAGCCCGAAACGGTGTTTAGGGACGTATCATAGTTTTTTATGTTGTAACTATGAATTTTTCACCTAATTTTAGGAAGGGGGGGGGGGGTTCCGGGGGGGGGGGGCCAATTGGACGTTCAACTTTTTTTTCATCNCCGGGGTGGGTGAGCCAATTGGACGTTCAACTTTTATCTCATCTCAGCTTTTTGCACGAGTCAACCATCTCACCCACCCCCGGAGCCCCTCCCCCGCTTAAAAAATAGGTTTCATCGGCTCAGAAGAAGTGTATCCATAATATGCAAGCATATTGTTTGTTCTTAATCACGAAACACGTCAGTACAACTTACCATTCCTTCCCAGACTCAGGCCCACTACTACCTCGCTGGAGAGCGCAGGGTGCCGCGCCGCAGCCGCGCCGCGTGGTCCCCTCCCAACCCACCTAACACCCAAAACTGTACCTGCGTTTCCACCTGCGTGCCGGCGCGCACGTCGAACTATGAAAGCAGCCATTTGAGGCCCGCTCTAATTTAATGCATGTAAGATTCCCAAGATTTGACTGCTCAATCACCTGGCTTCCTGGCGGCTATAAATATTTCGCGTTCTCACTTTTATGGTGCTGCGATTTCTTACACTTACGACAAGCTCTAGTTATAGTAGTCCCTCTTCGTGCACTTATTTCTATCATTTTTGCCCTGCGGTTAACTCAACCGCTTGATAAAGTCAATGTCCACCTCTAGCTAACCTAAAAAATAGCGGAAAACCCCTTTTAATTGCATTCACCAAATTTTTATTCGGAAGTTATACTCTTTTCGATCAATGTTTCACATGCGCCATTTTACAGTTAGTGTTAGTCTTCGAAAAATGAGAGCCTCGTAGCAAAAATCACTGGCACATCAAAAGAAAAATTCGTGTTCATCGCTTTGGTACTCACGTTATGTATGTAACCTTCCTAAAGTTCAATTTCTTAGCCTAACCTACAGCTGCATTCTGTTCCGCTGGCTATTGCTTCTCTAACACTCTAGTTTTGGCAAACACTTCAATGTATTAGATCGGCCTTCCAGCATCGTCAGTGCTTAGTGAAGCTTTTCTTATCGTTTGTTAGGCTTCGAGATGATGCTGCTATATTCCTGAGACCAACTTTTGTTGAGGGGTAACGGTACTGCACTACTGTGGTCCACGACATGCTAGTGTAGTGCACGATGTGGCTGCATGTTTGGTAGCACAATTGGTTGATATATCACATTAGTGTATTGTGCCTTGCTTGCTCTTTTGCTCAATCTGATCATCGCTGTCACACCTATTGCTATGGGTACGATTAATCGTTGATCGAGAATGAGGATCATCATGGGTTTGATTTTACAGAGAAAGGCATGGCAAGTGCAAAGTAGCTCCTACCAATGCTTACTCAACGCGCAAAGTACCCAAGAGGCCTTCTAGATAAGCATAATCGAACTCCCACAAACAATCAGTTGGTAGCGATAATCGGTTGTGGGACATAGATCAGCTTGTTAGACAGAGAACACTTGTCCTTTTTTGCCCATTCTCTAAATTAAATTTCTCCTAACACTCTGCAGCGAACACCCACATTGAAAAACTGCATCGCGATCACTGCTAACAATCTTTTACACTGAAGGTTAATGAAAATATGAATATAATTCGGCAAGACGTTGTTGAAGGACATGGCCTCACAGATTGCTGGCCCCACTTTTTTATTACCATTTTGCTAATATTCCCTGGGAATTTCTCATGGGCTTTCATATCTTATCCATTCCATTATTTTTGAAATTAATCAAACCGCAATTGTCGGAATTCACAAAAAGTTGCAGTAATTGCTGAAGTTGCTACTTAATATCGCATCTTTTAAACTCTGACTTTGACACGGTCTCTCGTGCTGCATACTTCTTAGATGCTTTTGTGGGATGAGGATATCTCCTCTTTATTTTTGGGTAGAAAACATGGTTTATATTCATTTTGATTGCCGTTTTGTCATGACTTGACTGTTTTTCGTACCGACTATCAGTTCTTGAAGTATCTATCTTATGTCGACTGCTTTGATTTGGTGATTTTTGGTGAGCGCAAGTTCTTGATTCTGGATGATCATGACAAGATTATTATAATTGTGAGGATACAATAAAATTATGGCGAGGAGATCGCGAAGTAATCTCTGAAATATGACTGCATAGGACTTTTTCCGTTAATTCAAGGAGCAGCTGGTGTTGTCTCGTGAATGTTGAACAGCGTAACCCCTATGACGGTTGGGTTTGTCGGTCATGTGTAACAGAGCCAGAGTTAGACATAACGGCCTTCACACATTTTCACTCACAGAAATGCATGGCTTAACGGTTTTTTTTTTAAATAAAATTTGTGACATGTCAGAGTTTGGTGAGGCTGTTGAAGCTTTCATGTTTTTTTTTTGTCTTTTACAATTTCCTTCCTGTTTCTTAGAAGTAAGAAGAAAGTAAAATCCTTCTTAGAAGAAGTAAAATTGAACGTAGTTTTTCGACTTGAAATCACCTTCACATTTCTTAAACCTCAACAGTGCACAATTTCTAATCATCGAGAGTCAAAGCTGTACGTTGTCCAAACCGTATGAACTTTTACTTCGCGGGAGAAAGGAGCAATATTGACCATACGTCTTGAATTAGGTATTTGACTACAGTAATGCTATCTTCGTTAGTTTTGACAAACTTAGAGTTCATGCGTTTCACAACCTTTTGTTGCATGGAGTAGAGCTAAATTTCAATTTTCAATTCGCCTGAATAATTAGGTATCGTTGTGATGAAGATGAACTTATGTATCCCAATTCAGGTGTGTTTTCTCTGTTTTTCTCTTACGTAATGCATGTTCTAGCGACACAGCTGCTCGACTGAAACCTCCGCCTTTAGACATCAGTTACGTCAACACTAAGAATAATGTAAGTTATTTTCTGTTTTTCTTCTCCCTTCGCTTACATAAAACTTCCAAAGATCGTCTATCAGAGACGACTTGTTTTCGTGCCCTTTCATCTTTTACCTGTTTTTTAGATGATAAAAGCGGAGAGAAGGTTGCTGGCTACACTAGGATTTGTTGTTCATGTGAAGCATCCGCATAAATTGATATGTGCCTATTGTTTCGTCTTGCGAGCTCATCATCGTACTGACCTCATCCAAAGAGCATGGTTGGTGTATGTGTGTACTTGGTCACAGCAACAGTAATCAAACGTCAGTGCGGATTTTAGGACCTACATGAATGATGGCTTGAGAACGGACATGTTCGTGCGGTACTCACCGGAAACTATTGCATGTGCTTGTATTTTTTTGGCATCTCGTACTGTCCATCCACAAGTGCCCCTCCCTGACAAACCTAGGAATTGGTAGGTTTGACATTAATCGACTGATGATTTCGCTTCAGTTACCTTCTCTTTCAACGTTGTCTATTGCTACTAGTGAGATCAACTGAAAAATCTTGAAAATTCTTCAGGTACGAACTTTTCGATGCATCTGATACTGATGTTCACACGATAGCCATGATGCTCTTGAACATGTATGCTAACCAAAAGGTGAGCTTGTCACAACCTTCCTATTTGTCTTTATTAATTTTAAGCATTATGCGTTTTTCCAATACCAGGCCGTGAGCTGGAGAGAAATGGATGAAAAGATCGAGAAGTTACGGTCAAAGATTGAAGCAGAGCAGAAGGCAGCGAAAGCTCAGCTAGTAGCTCAGAAACTTGCTGTCGAGAAGAAGAAGGCCGACGAAGGTAGAATTTTCTTTGCATTCACCTTGTTGATAGTAATACAGTAAGTAAGTAAGTAAGCATCACGTGCTTTATGTTGTTTTTCTAAAATAAACTTTCTAGATTCTGGTCGTGAAGATACGAAGAAACGCCGAGGCAAGAGTAGAAGTCGATCGCGATCGAAGTCGCGATCTCGCAGTCCAAGGCGGTACATTTTTCATGTTTAAACGTTACGCTCTATTTTCCTTTTTTTACATTTATGCACGAAAGTTTTCTCGCCAGAAATTCATCGTTACGTCTGTTCTGTCGTGTATGCGTATAGTGTATGAGGTGTTGAGAAAAGACTATTCAGATTCCAACAAGTTATGGGAGTATCCTCGAAAAAACTCAACTAGTAGAGGATGATTGGATTCTGGTTGCTTTGTTTCGTTCAGTATCATTTGAAAGTGCCTACTTCTGCACAATAATGCAGCGGCAAAATGAGCAATGGCTTGCGATGTTATGCGGCAACAGTCGTGAAGATTGGGTCTGCCCACATCTAGAGGGCATCAGTCGAAGGTGGGACTGATGTCCTCTAGATGTGGGACTTCTACGATGGGAAACAGTTCGAGGCGCCCCGGTCTTCTTCTGCCTGATGTTTAGACTTTCAGCGCCATTCAATGTCACTGAGAAGCAGATCAGATCTATTGCTGTACCTCGTTTCTATCACCGCTTTTATTGAATCAGTCGATAGCGCGACATAAGACCGCTGTCCTTTTCGTGTCATACGCGGCCTGATGTCCACATGCGTTGTAAGTTCCCATGGTCCGGTGCAGAAGAACAGGAGCTATGAGCTATGAATTTTGGGCAAGCCACATACGTATATTCCTGCGCTTCTTGTCGGTGTGTGTGTCTGTCCAACTTAATCCAACTTTGCTCCAACTCACTTAATCCAACTTTGCTGCATAGCTTTATCAAATGGCGCTCATTTCGCGCACCCTGTGTTCAAATGTAGAAGGTATGCTGCCTGCATTCCTTCTACGTTTGAACGCCCTAAGTCTGGAGAGCAATTTTTGCGCATACCTCACATCCATACACGTACACACTCACACATTCACACTTCTGCAACCCATGTGCCTAGTTTTCAATCTTTTTTATGAATGAACTCGACCGAGTTTCAGAAGCAAGTACTCGCCCAGTCAACGACGACGAGAGACACCTGAGAAGAATGGAAGAAACAAAGCTCGTGGGGGAAAAGGTGGCCGAGAAGATAGACGGGACAGAGATAGGCGAGACGATCGACGTGACGACAAACGGAGACGAAGTAGGAGTCGAAGCAAAAGCCGAGAACGATATTCAGATCGTGACCGAGAGCGAGTAAAGGTACATTGTTGTTGCTCTATACTTAATTTGCAGCTTGTTGATCAACGTTCGGATAGCCTTGTAGTCGTTAACATAATCATATCGTAAATAGAACTGTTCATGTGTTTTAATTGAATAAGGTAGAGTGGAAGGAGGCAGTTTACTGCAGACAAGTTTCCAAATTTAAGTAAATTTTTGAAGATAATTGAGGACATTAAGATACACAGTGTGAAAAAGTGGTGAGACGTCTCTTAATAAGTTTTCTCATGTGCACTGCATTTAGGAGCGGAGTAAGATACGTGAACGAGAAGTCTACCAATCGCTTGGTAAACGACCTCGCCCGCGTTCACCGTCACCTCCAGCACGATTCCGAAAGTGATCAAAAGTTGTCTCTAAGTCCACTGGCTTATTTTTAATTCAGCGATCTGAGTTTTTACCCTTTCTCCAGCGGTTTCGTTTGGGAATCTAATTAAGAATATCTCGCCGGGTTTGTTTGCCTATATTAATTGTTTTGTACACTTCTGTGAATGCTTTGGCAAATCACCCATAGCTGATTCATGTGAGTAGTTCGCTAATTGATTGTTTTTGAATATTGTTTTTGTCACTGGTAGAAAATTTTTCTCTATTTTAATCTTTGAAAGGCATCGGTACTGCTGGTTTTTTGCATCTCATGATCAACTCACTACACCTCTTCAACGTGGAATGCCATTTTCTCTCGTTTTAGTTGTGGTTCCAACGTTGTGTTCTTGTGGTTTCGTTCATTCTTCGTTCATTTTCCTATCAGTTTCAAGGAACCTCCCATATTGGGTAGTATAAATGATTGCTACTAAAATTTGTATGTGTTTATGGTGTTTTGCACTAAAATATCTGATGGAGCTGTATGCTGATTATCACTACTCTGCTGTTTATTGAAACGCAGGGTTGTTTCTTCCATTCATTACGCCTTAACTGTCGTTCCTTTATTTGATTTCCATTTTATTTACGTGAATGCGCTGCAACTACTTATAGTCTGTTGGTGATGATTCACTATATTGGAGGGGATCTTTCATATATAGTCCAAATTCCATTTATATTTTCGTTCCAGTCCCTTATAATGAGCTTGGAGTGTCTACTCTTTTCTGCATATTAGGCGCAAGTGCGAGCAGAAAACTTAGCTTCGCCTTCTTTTACCACTCCATGATCAGTTTTTTGTTGGTATTGGAGTTCCATCGAGTTCCAGAGGATTTGCTCAGTTGCGTTTTTCGTTTTGTTTCGTTGAGTTTTTCGTGCTACAGGAACGATGAAAGAGCATAACGAACCGCTCGAGGAAAATGTTGATCAACTAACCCAATGGAGGGAGCGATGTGCCGACCATGTTTCGGACCTGAAAAGTATGCTGGACGAGTGTAACGACCGTGTGAATAGTCGTACCAATACTGAGGAGACGTGTCACCAGGTACTTTCATGTGTGCAGAAATGTCATCTTTGCATGTGCAAGTATATGAAAGAATGGGGAAATGGGAGTAGCAGAACAAATGAAAGGCTGAAACGAAATTATTGCACGGAGAATTCAACGACTGCAATGACTTTAATCACCCATCGGAATGCGTTGCCAACATTCAAACCTGTGTATAGATTCTACATGCTAAACTCACCAGTTGAATTTTCACACGTTGAGAGAGAAGACCGCGGCATAAAATGCTTCACTTATAATCGAGTCCTATGAATAGGGTGTTATTCTATTTGTGCAGTTACATTAGATAAAAATTTATGGTTAATTTCACCGAGTGATTATGAAGCCAACACTGAGAGGCTTATAATTGCAGGAAATGTCTGACTACATACATCATCTGGATGAGTGCGCCATGCCGAAAGCTTTTGCAGCACTCAAGTAGCTACCGCAGCACCCAAGTAACTACCTCATTAGTCTTAGATGTCAGGTTTTCGATGTGTTATTGTTTATAGATGAAATGAACATGTTCTAGATTCTGGCTTATTCGACAGAGTACTCTGATTCCACATACAATCCACATAAAAGTATGAGTACTAAATGTATAAACAATAAAACTTATCCTCGCTAACCATTAGCGGTACTGTTAATTCTGGAACGTTTTGAACGAATCGTCGTCTTTAAGGACATGAAAACAATCAAAGAACTTATATGTGACTTTGTCAACAATGCATCCAAACGCGCTAGTCTAGCTGCAAATTTCCAGGGAACTCGAACATCAGAAGATCACAGCGAACAATCAACCTTCTGCGGTTCCACCAGCGTTGGTGTCCCACCCTGTTTCTTGAACAGCAAGGGACCAAGGGACACTATTGATGATCGTTAGATAAGAATTATGCGGTGATTTCAAAGCCTACAGAAGGGAATGAGCAAGGGTTAGCTTGCTATGGTCATGCACTCATTTCGGTTTATTAGCTCAAGAGTAACTCTTGCATTGCAATATCTTTCTAGAACCGATCTCGTTCTCGTAGGCTAGGATTCTGTCTTCGATGTCAAAATCATGGCGTAGGTGTCTTTTTAGTTGGTGACTCCAAGGGATGTGAGTAAGCTTCTATGCCTTTTTCTTGTTAGATGTTCTTTGACGCGTATATCGAGCATCTTCTCGTTCCATTAACATGGATGTATTCCGTCGCAAGCTAAACACTGGCATTAATACACCGTTCCTCGACCTTTTTCAAACAGACAGGTTACAAACATCGGTAAGACATGCGTGGTCATAAAGCTTCTTGATGATTAGCTGACGTTTGATATTGTCATGTGCTTCGTTATCACATCACTAGTCAAATCCGCTGGTACATTGCCCCGGATTCCTGCGCTGAATTGTCCGATGTAAGGGAAACCTGGACGTATGCCATATTCTTACGACTTCTCAGAAAGTATCTTTGTGGCCCGTTCTTCTGTATTGCGTCCCATAATTCAACTTCACGATCCTATACGCGAATGTATGTGGCTTCATTCCCTTTGCGTGTGCAGACTCTTGTCGCTCTTTTGTAAATATTATGAATAACTGTAAATTTCACAGCTCCGGGTTAGGCAGTCTTGGCGTGGTCAAAGATGTTCTTCGAGCTGTTCGTTGGATACCACATAACATTATATCTTCCTCCCTGAAATGTCTATCTGCTTGTTTAAATAGGAAGCCAGTCTACATGTGAAACCTCCCTCTTGACCTTGATGTACAGAACTGTCGTTGAGAATGATAAGTAATTCATACATCTCGTGCAGCGTTGATGTAATTACGCAGTAGCCATCGATATACGGGCAGTACATAACGCGCATACACAGCTGGTCTTTCGATTCCTCTTATAATACAGGCATATAAGGGACCGGTGCTAGCCGCTGACCTATAGGACGTTATACAGTACCGTTCAAAAAGAAATCACCTCGAACCTTTTTTGTCATAACTCATCTCGAACTCAATGTTTTTGACTGATTTTTTGATATGTTGCCAACAGTGATGATATTCAATGTCTCCATCACACTGAACTCACAAAACTCCTTTTTATTTCGTTTAAAAGGCCACTTTTCACATTTTTTCTGAGCAGGTGAAAATAACATCAATTTCAATAATTTGAAATGAATCACTTGATTTGAACGCTATCATCATGAGATTAAAACTTAATCACCTACTAATATAATACTTTGAAAAAACCCATTGGCATCGATGACGGCTTGGCATCTTCGGGGCACTGATTCGACCATCTTGCCGATCAGGCACTCATCGATTTCCTTCCATTCTTCTTCAAATAGGCCAAACTTCTGAGCAGCATTTGTGACTGATCTATAGGCTATCCTTTTCTTGAGTCCTTACCACGAGGGTTCACTGATGTTTAGGTCAGGGGACTGGCTGGGTGAGTCAAGGCATCGACTTTCCCGATGAGTCAACCACTCGAGCGCCTCTTCTGGATCTGTGTCCAGGATCGTATCTTGCTAGGAAGTAAATCTTCTTTTGTGCACAGGACGGGAGAAAGATAGCATGGATTTCGGAACTTGTGTGTTGAAAGGTCTTCTATGAACGAAGCCCAAGTGCGGCAAGCCAAACAATCTTTGACTAGTCGCTCGCGCCATTAGTCGAAAGATCAGTGAAGGTGCTTAAGCGCCCACTGAAGTCGAGCTCGTCTAATTTTCAGAGATCTAGACACTTTTTGACAAGTCTTCCTCCATATATTCCAGCAACCCACAGGTGTCAGCTGATGGTACCTCCAGATGGTAGTGACGTCGCCGTCGTCGATATGGCTATTATATCGGAAGATGCTCGTCTGGAATCTTGAGTCCACCCACAAATGATCTTCCATCGTCCTCAATCCGTAACCTTCCCGGGCTGCTCGTTTGATTGGGTCTGTGAGGGACTCAATACCTCTGATGGCCTTCGTAATAGTAGAAATTGGTACAGCAAACAGCCTTGGATGTTGAGCATGGGTCAATTCCTGCTTACTGCCCGTGGCAGTGGCGGAGAGCTACTCCACGGTCAGGAAGAGAAAGCCAGAAATCCGTCTCGTTGCTGAGAGCGATCAGCTAATAGAACGAAAGAGTCACTGACATTTCTAGACTCAAAAACACAATGAAATCTACCTAAAGTACATATATATATACCAGTCGGGCCGCCCGGCTAACGCCAGGCTTCCCTCCTTCTTATGGTGTCGCCTGGCTTCGCCGGGCGCTCCTCCTTTTTGTAAAAAATTTCTTTCCCTTGAAAGCTCTACACTCCCAGCATTAGCTCCGAATTGGGAGCGATTTTTTCTGTATTATAAGTGATTGTATACTAATTAGAAGTCTCGATTCATTGCTCTTCATCTCGAAATTGTGTCACATTGATGGCTTAGCTGATTGAAAGCCAATGTCTCGAATGGTACCCAGAAATGGATAGTATCGCCTATCACAGATGTCGTTATCAATAGAACATTTCCCCACGGAGTTTTCATTAATTGGGAATCCCAAATCATTAGCGGTCGGATGAATTTAGTCACAAATGATATGTCACAAAACGAAAAGGAATCGTGGTACTTCATTGTGTCACAAAGCTCACTACGTAACGGTCGTGGTTTAATAGCGAGAAATGGACAATATTCTCATTTCGTTATGGAGAAATGTCTTTGATCGGTCGCTATTACTGCATTTACCCGTCTTATTGAATGAAACATTTTAAAGAGTCAGTATTTGATCATGAATACCCGTTTGCTCTCTAAGGCTCATTATCAGTTCTTATCAGTTGTTATCAGTTCCTGTCACAGAGTACCTACGACTACGACGTATCCTACCTTGCCGTAATTGAGAAGATTCCAGTGTTGACGCGAGGAGGATTGCGACGCTTGCTCGCTTGTTATTATGTTATTATTATGAGTTATGAATTTGCAACCTAAAATTTCTAACGCGCACGCCCCGCCCATTGTAGGCGGAGTTCGATCTTGCCAACTGCCGTAAGTGTTCCCATGCCGCCGCCTGTACCACTACCGATTTTGAACACTTTGGGTCCACTGGGACAGGAGTTATGAATTTGCGATCTAAAATTTTTATCGCGCACGCCCGCCCCTTGCACGCGGAGTCCGCTCCTACTACCTGCCATAAGTGTTCTCATCCTGCTTCCTTCACTCTTACCAAGTTTGAACCCTCTGGGTCCAGTGGAGCAGGATTTATGAATTAGCGACCTAAAATTTCTATCACGCACGCTCCGCCCCCTGTAGGCGGTGTCTAGTCCTGCCACCTACCATAAGTGTTCCCATCATGCCTCCTGTACTCCCACCAATTTTCATCGCTCTGGGTCCAGTGGAACAGGAGTTATGAGTTCTCGGCCCAAAATTTCTATCGCGCACGCCCCGCCCCCTGTGGGAGGGGTCCGGTTCTACCACCTGTCATAAAAGTTCCCTTTCTGTTCCCCGTACTCCTACCAAATTTGAGCTTTCTAGGTCCACGGGGACAGGAGTTATGAATTTCCGGTCAAACACACACACACACACACACACACACCGACACACCAACAGACACACTTAGCGAATTATATAAAGTAGGATATATATATGACGTCTTACCATTGGCCACGGCTGCTTCACTTGACATCATTTTACTATTCTTGTAACAATCTCATTGTAGAAGAATGTGTCATGAACTCCATGGTCTTGATGTCGCCCCCTTCTTTTCCGCATCCTGCTCCGCGAGGCATTTAAGAATCGCAGAGCGTTCGGCGGGGAGAGTAGCTCGCTGCTTGGTTGTTCCTTTTGATCGTCTGGTGGCCTACGAAGCCGCTAAGTAAGCTCAGCCGCATGGTTTAGTTGCCGTTACAGTATACTAAACCAGACTTGCCTACGTATAGAGACAGGATGAGAACGGCGGACTCGTCAGGGCAGGCTGCCCTTCTCAAAGAACGGGTAACAATTCCATCAAACTGCCGACTGTTGTCAAGAATGTCAAAGATTTCTATTTTTCTAGTAGACATTTGGGTTTATTGAGGTCGTGAGAAGTATTATGATGAACATATCTAATAAATATTTCCTGTTCAGTGAGTTTACTGAGCACAAAGCATTAACTTTTACATCTGAGAAGTGATGCTCTCCAGAACAGATTGCGTTCTTGATGTTTTTATCTAGAACGCAACCGTGTCATTGGTTAAAGATTATCTTTCCCGTAAAAGCTTTTTTGCCTTAGAAAACGATGAAGAGATGCGTGTTTGTACTCATCTGAGATTGAAGGGGGACGGTACATTCGTGCGATTAGAGCTGCGTGCAGCAAATTGTGCGGCAGAATTGGTGGCTAATCGAAAGACTCTAGAGCCTTTTATTGGGGTACAAACTTGGATTAAAGTAGATTAGTATGGCTAGCTGATCCTACAAATCTGCCCTACTTCAAATTCGGGCCCCAATAATAGGCGCTGAAGCCGTCAGAATCGCTATGAATTTCGCCGCGCAGTTTGCCGCGCGCGGCACGAATCGCACGAATGTACACACACACGGGATTGAATCCTGCTGAATTTCTGACCCTACAGTGTCCGGTGAGATCAGAAACGAAGTCGCATTTGTGCATGCGATAGGAGGAAGTTGGGCTTTCGCCTGACGAATCAGCCAACCGACAACTTCAGCTAGCTTGTTGTCATCCTTTTGATGGGTCACTCAGGACTACGATTGACCTGCAAACGGAATATTTTACCAGTCCTATCTTCGAAGACACTGACTTCTTTCTACCCCTTTCCTGTTGTCTTTGATTAATTCTTCTTCTCTGTATCGGTAATGACCTTCTTTACAATTATCATAGAAATCACAAGAAGTTTCAAGATTTTCGAGATGACATCAGGCATCATCAAACACTCTGCTGACTGTCTTCCATTATGTGTCTGATGCGCAAGTTCTTATAGTTAGATTTTAAATGCAAATGTTCATTATGGTTACGCTTTCAAGAGAACCCTTCGCTCCTCAATACTTCATCTCTTCAGAAACGAAACTTTGGCGCATTTCGGATGAAGCAGTATCGTGAACAGGGAGCATGAATTGTTTTATGCCCTTTTTGGGTAAGGCCAACTGGCACGTGACATAACAGCCCTATGATCCTTGAGGGAAATCGACAATGAAGACACCTCAACAAAAGGAGACGGTTCAACTTCAGAACTCAGCTCTTTATCCTCCAATTGCATAAAGAACATTCAAAAAATTACATTTACCATTGAACGAAACATTGTCTACAAGATTGTACACACCTTTGTCTTCAACTTGGGATCGTTCCGTATTTGCTGACACTTGCAAGACTCCTTGTATTTCTAAATCATTGGAAGCATGAAAAAGTTCTGCAAAATGAATGAATAAGGAGCCTAGCTTCACTTTACACGTGTTTGATATTGATATTAGGAGCACCTTTTCAGAACTAGGTCGCCGTGTAGTGGCTCCGGCCAACATGCCAGAACTCTCCTTCTCTCCCAGTCCGGAGATGAAGGGTTCCAGCCCGACTAGTCGAGGTCGCAGCGCTCGCGGCGACCCTTTCTTGACGAAGCACACACGGCTTGGTGATGGGTGCAATTACATGACTACATACCACTGCTATGGAGGAACCATCCTTTATTTAAGATTGGTAAGAGCTAATGACAGAGTTTTAGCCGCTAGATCTTGATTTATCTAATCAAAATAACGAAAATTTCGCTGAGTAAACGAAATCATCGGTACCGCTTTCGATTCTTGTTCTCGTCTTGAACCACCATTCTGCCCTTTCCGCTGATCTGATCCTTTTCTCGAGCTCTTCTTCCTGGATTTTCGATGAGAAGATAGCTGAAACATTATAGTATTATCTTTGCGATATCATGCTTTTCTCCACCCATGGACAGTGTGGGCAGTCATGCTTTGCATCAATGGGATAGGCATTCTCAGTTTCGTCCTTATCCACTTTACCCACAAAGAACCCTGTGATGCAGATACACTACATTTCTGCCCAATACTTAGCATTTAAAACGGCAGTACAGAGTTAGATTCTAAACGACTTGATTTTGGTTCGATTTATTGCACGAGTACGTTCGTGAGAAGTGACAGCAACAAGGCACTGTACAAATAGCTGAAACATTTTCGAGTGACGTTTAAAATCGGTGAATAAAAAATAAATGAATTGTGAAGGAACACGCAGCGAGCTGAACGGAGATTTCAAAAATCATAAAAATAGGACGCAACGGAATGTGAATTATGAAATATCTATTTCACTGAGAGTGAGAGTTTCGAATCGCTATTTTTTGAGCTGAGCAATGATTTAGAAGTACTACTCCATCTTACGATTCTATTGCATTCCAGCCCAGTGACAGAAAGTGATATCGATGTCGGGTATTCGGTCTAGAAATGCGAATTTCGAAGTTCCCACCTCGCGTACAATAGTAACCTGCAGAAAAGAGTTTGTATTCAAGTGGGGTACTATCCACCAAGAGTTTTGTGAACCGTAGGTATATTCTTGAGTCTTCCCCTCTGTTGAGGTGTCTGAAATCCCTGCAGCTTGCTTCTAATAGTGCAATGAGGTATATTCATATAATTATAATCACGAGCTTTGATTAAAAGTTTCCTAGTGAAATCATTTTGCAATTTTCAACTACACAGATATCGTTGTTGTCAGAAGCTCCTTTGTTAAGAGACATTTCTACTTTAGTGTACAATAAAAGGATCTGAATGGACCGCGCACAAGGATCATGGAAAGCTGGAAGGCTGATAAGAGATCTTAGATCGTTCCAATCTCGAACCCATTTGGTATTTAGCCCTTTGATATACGCTATTCCGAGATCCTTCATGGGGAAAGACTAAATAGTAGAGAAGTTCTACAAAACAGAGTAATAACCGCAGTGATAAGAACCGATCAAAGCCAGTAGTATATGAAAAGAACGAAGTTTGTTCCATCTTTTGCAGTCAGATTACGACGCGCACAGTTCAGAGTTTGTGTCCCAAAAATGATCACATATTGTTATACCAGTCGGATCGCCCGGCTAACGCCAGGTTCTCCTCCTTCTTGTGCCGAACACTCTATCTCGATAAATGTTGAAGTGAAGAATTTTTCCCTTTTTCGAAGTTTATAGTTTTTGAGTTTTTTTCCGTTGTTTAGCTGAGTGAGAGTATGAAACGGGAGCAGAGCTCGAAATCCTTCTTTGACACAACAGAAATCGAAAGCTTCCCTAATTCTTTGATATAGTACGTCTAACTCTTCACTCCGTTATTGAAACAAATGACAATTTCCTGTACACGAAATTTGACACAGGACTAACAGGGCAATGCAAATGGTATTCAGTTAAAGTCGCTACTTACGCCTTCGATTGGAAGTCTCGAACTTTTGGTCTCTTTCTTGGAAATGAAGAGCCATCAAAAATACAACTGTTAGACAATCAAAGATGATGCTGTCTAGATGTTCTGATTGCACCGTTATCAGATATTTTTTATCAATGGACCCTTTTCTTTACGGACCTATCATTAGTTGAAAATTAGAGATTATTGGTGGTCGGTAAAATTTTGTCGCAAATGATATCGACAAAAGAGGACCCTTCATTGAATCACAAACCTTGGTGGTAGCGGTCGTAATCTAATAGTGAGAAACGAACAAAGTTCTAATCTGCTCATCGTATTGCCCTAATGGTTCCCTACCATTGCGCTTACAACTCACTTTTGTCTGCCTGCTCTACCATCCCGTTTTATCGAACGAAACATACTGAGCAAAGGTACATCGTAGATACCGAAGACCTTAGGATTTTGATCGGTAGGTGGCCTCTCTTAGGTCCTTTATCTTCTCCTATAAGTTATGATCAGTTCTTGTCACCGAGTACCTACGATCCCGTCGTATCCTACATCACTTACTTAAATGCTGAGGTTCCACTGTCAGTACGAAGAGTGTAATCCTACCAAATTCNAGGTGGCCTCTCTTAGGTCCTTTATCTTCTCCTATAAGTTATGATCAGTTCTTGTCACCGAGTACCTACGATCCCGTCGTATCCTACATCACATACAAAATGCTGAGGTTGCACTGTTAATACGAAACACTGTGATCCCACCAAATTTGAACGCTCTAGGTCCACGTAAACAGGAGTTATGAATTTTTATTGCGCACGCCCCAGACACACTTAGCGAATTATATACAGTAGGACTGTTCTTATAACAATATCAATCTCCACAAGAAACTATCTGACCACCAATAACTTGGGAATCTCGGCTAATCACTCAACAACAACGTTAAGTGTAATTCGAGTAGTGGTTGACTAATCAGGTTGCTCAGTTGCAGAAAAGTCTCTGCGTCAGTAAGGGCAATAAAGGAAAGTATTCAGGGTCTGACAAATGGTTATAGTTAAGGCCAAGGACGACAGATGGAGATATCTGAAGCGTATACATTCATCGTACGCGCTTGAACTTGTGTGGCTCGCGTGTCTGTTGGGAATTTCTTTTGGGAACTTTCGTTCATTAAAAAATAGAGGAACGGAGGCCCTAGCTTACAAACCGACTTTTTAAATGAAACAAGGGTAGCCCGGGATAAGCAGTGCGATTCGACTTATGATAGGTACTTAGTTGGACTGGGATTTGATCTCTTTAGGATCGGTTTTTCGGCAACGGACTCGTCGGAAGAAAATACCAGGCTGAAATCGGCTGGTCACTGTAGGTTATTGTCGGTGCAACTACAGATCCTCTCATGAAAGTGCATTCCGTGATCACATGAAATATTCTTGAACAACTACTGGATTACAGATAAGCGATTCAATGGCAGAAAAATCCAGGAAAAGCAGGAAAATTGGGATTTTTTTTGTTTTGACCTCATTGGGAGAGCCAATCTCACATCTAGTGTTGCGTTTGGATTCTGTAAAACGATCTCTCCCTCTCTCTTCCTTGCCTTATCCCTTTGAGCCTATCTCTTGAGCCTAGAAGAACAGTGGGAGAAGTAACTAGGCTCTGAACCAGTTCCGAGTAGGGCGGTAAAAACGAAAGACTCTGGCTCCTTCATTCGAAAAGTTTCTGATGATAATTTGCTTCAGCCGATTATCATTCAGCAAGGACAGTATGATTTTTCAGTTGTAAAAATAACCAGCATTTCAATTTACCTGGAACACAGGCTTCTCCAACATGGCCAAACCGTCGGTATCCGAATCGCTGACATAGAAATTCCTGATCGTTGGTTGCAATACGTTCTCTGGCACCTGCAAAATATTGCTGTCATGATATCAAGAAACTGATTGCATAATTTTTGTGGCCACCCAACTCATCTTGCACAGCCATACTGTTCTCCGAGCATGTAATTTGAGCCCGTCTTCTGCTTTCTTAATCATGTTTACGAGGAAAAAAAGAATTGTGGGAAGTTAGCCTTTCTCATCTCAACGATTGGGAAATTTGAAAAAATCTCATTATCGACTGCGTGGAAACAACAAACATCGCGCTAGGGGACCTTGTTCCTTTTCAGAGAATAGGAATTGCAAAAGATAGGGTAGTCTCCATCTTTCTATTTACGCCTATGAGCTTCGTTTCATGGTGAAGGTAGAAGAATCCATAGCCTTCCGTCGTTTGAGTGCTAAAAGGAGCCACACTCTCTTGTGAATGGAAAACAAGTACTGACCCGTCAAGAAATTCGGATGAGCATTCGAGGTCAAAGGGCACCTCTATTTGGTCAGTGGTGATTAAGTAAAATCCCACTTCAACTACCAATCTCCGTGCTCCTCAAATGTGGGGGAATGTTGCAGATAATCAATTAGAACAGTGAAAATGTTCTGGAAGCGTTCGAAACGCATACTATGAGAAAGCACTGACAGCATGGCGTCCGGTGTGATCAAGTAGGTGATGGCACCTACGGCAGTGAATATCTCATCTTAATGGCCACAGGGACTAACAATAAGTATAATATCAAGAAGGCGAGCGCAAGCGGGGTCTCGGTAGTGTAAGGGATAAGAGCATGGTCCCCGGAAAGGACAAGTACGGGTTCGAGTCCCGTCCGAGACTGAAGTTTTGTCCATAAGTCGCCATCCCTGTGAGACTTTCGCTTCGCGTACTGCAGCGTTATAACAGCAGTTAACAAAACATCAGGTCAAAATAAGTATCCTTCCTTTATAAGAATGACATCTACCGAGAGAATGACCCGCGATGCAAATATAACCGTCTTTCGTTGCGTTTGATCATCAGTTTAGCCATCACTGGTGATCATTTCGAAGTTGAATTTGCATCTTGATGTGATTTCCTTTCTAAGCCGAAATCCTTCGACCTTCATTTTTGTTAACTGCTCAGGATTTTGGAGATGAAAACACAAAGAAATTCCTTGGTTATAACTTCACAGTTTACTTGAAAAAGTGGATTAGAATCTCACCTTGTCTGCGGGTTCATTTTCAAACGACATTTGTGGCTCGGGTGTACTATTTTTAACATCCTCATTCTGATCACCATCTAAACTTTTCTGGTTGTCCATCTCGACAGTTTCTTCCGTACCATTTTCGTGTTCTGGCTCGCTATGTGCATCATCCTGAAGCAGAACAATTTCAAAATAGTCAACCATTCTTGGGCATGTCTCTCAAGTGCGGTTCTTCCACTATGTCGCTCACTCCAAACTAACTGTAAACGAAACATTTGAAACACACCTTGGAATCGTCTTCATGAATGGAACTAAGATCCAACACTATTCCGCTCTCGGTGTCCTCGATCGTTGGTACTGCGAGTTCGTCGATCTTTGCTGCAATTGCAGATATGAGAAGAAAGAATGCAGAGTTTCAGCTCACAAGGTTCGTGGTGTCTACTAGAGAAATTAACTTTTTTGGATTACTACCGAATTGTAAGTTGCAGCAGGTGTGATACACAGTAGCGCTCTAAAGTCTCCGGCCGAATGCTTCTTCAGTCGCGCTTTTCAGTCGTACTACTATTAACCTACAGTCTGATCATGTTCCAGATATCCCAAAGAGCCCGAGCTCGAAACCAACTGGAAATACAGGTGATGGTCCTCCTGGGATTTCTTTCCTTTTTGCCATTTCTAAAGTGTACGAGCGCTATTGCCAAACACAGTAGAGGGAAAAAACGCACATAAGGTGCAAACAAAATAGGTCCATGTCTGCACCCGCGGTTGCCATAAAGTCCTACCCCCCGCAGAGGGCCAAAAACACGTCTTTCAGAACAAAGGGAAATAACCACACCCTCCTATTATACATAATTAGCTGAGTGTGTCTGTTGAATTGTCGGTGTGTTTATGTGTGTGTCTGTATGTGGCTGACCGGGAACTCATAACTCTTGTCCCCGCGGAGCCGGAGCATTCAAACTTGGTAGGGGTACGAGGGGAGGGGCGGATGGGAACACTTATGGTGGGTAGCAGGACCGGACTCCGCTCACGGAGGGGCGGAAAGGGGGGGGGGGCGAGGCGTGTGCGATAAAAATTTCGGGTCGTAATCTCGTAATTCCTGTCTACGTGGACCTAGAGCGTCAAAATTTGATAGAATTACACCTTTCGTATTAACAGTGAAACCTCAGCACTTTAATAAGTGATGTAGGATATGACGGGCTCGTAGGTACTCGGTGACAGGAACTGATCATAGCTGATAAGAATAAATAAGGGGAGAGACCACCTACCGTCAAAATCCTAAGTCTTCGATATTTACGATGTAGCTTTGACCGTTCATTATGTTTCATTCGATAATACGAGATGGTAGAACAGGATGACAAAAGTGAGTGGTAAGTGCAGTGATAGGGACCAATTAGGGCAATAATAAGCAGATGAGAATTTTGCTATTAGATTACGACCGCTACCCGGCAAGGTTTGTGATCCAATGAAGGATCCTCTCTGCTCGGTATCATTTGCGACAATACTTAGTCGACTACCAGTAATCTGGAATTCTCAACTAATGATATTCGTGAATAAAAGGGTCGGTTGATGAAGACATCTGATAATACAGGGTGACCCACATGAAGTGTGACGGGCGATAAAAAAGTCAACTTATGGGCTTTTGGGCTGGAGGAAGCGGTGATCGCTTGGGCGGAAAGGAACGCTATGAACGTCAGCTGAACCTTCCACAGGATTGGGCACCAGCCTACAGCGCAAAGAAGATGCTGCAATGTTGTAAAACCACGCTTCCGGGTTTTTGGGGCGAAGCAGTTTTGACCTTCAAATTCCCCTATCTCAATCCTTTGGATTTTGGTGTATGGTCAATTTTGGAGCAAAAAGCCTGCGCTTTCAAACACAGGTCTTAGAAATCTCTGAAAGAAAGTTCTCTTGTAGAAGAGTGGGATGAAAGTGATTGCGCGCATTCTTGAAAACATCCGAATGAGGTTGGATTTTTGCATTAGGGCGAAAGATGGACATTCTGCATGCAAGATGTGATATGTTGTTTACAATTTTGTGGTGATTGTGTAGGAATAATAGTTTCCTATTTGGTTTGATCTTTATAATTTTGATGCTAGTTTTCTGCGTCACACTTCATGTGGGTCACCCTGTACTCACCTAGTACTATCGTCACTCAGAACATCTCCACAGCATCATCTTTGGTTGTCTAGCAGTTGACCTTTTGATGGGCGTTTCTTTTTAGAAAGAGAGCAGAAGATCGACAAGTCCAAACAAAGGCGTAGCACCGACTTTAAATGAATATCATTTGCAGTGCCCTGATAACCCTGTGTCAAACTTCGTGTACAGGAAAATATTATTCGATTCAGAGAAGGAGTGAAGAGTTAGCCGGTTACTACAACTTTGTCAAAGAAGGAGAGAAGCCCAGGCGAACCGACTGGTAGTAGATATAAGCGTTATGGATTGGAATGTTATATACGTAAACGTTGATTAAACAGACGTAACTTACTCAATGCCGGCTGCACATCAACCATACCACGATGCACCACTATGTTGTGCGATGAAGTGCTCTCTGAAACTGTTTCCTAATGCGAATGGGATTTCAGAAATTAGCATCAGTCGGTAAAATGGAAACTCGATGATATCATAAATGGAGAGTTGAATGTTGACGCGCAGGTGTTCTTTATATATTCGAAGAGAAAACAAGTAATAGATGCATAGAAAAAATCATACACGACAGGTTCTTAAACAGAAGGATTTTAGTATTCATTTGGGTGAGTGAACACTACAGGACGCCACTCAAAGGCGCTTCATCAGGTATTATGTTATGTAGTTAACACGCCGGTGAGGACAGATCGTCTTTTAGGACTGATGACCTTTAGAAGTTGGAGATCTCCGTTGAAAAGGTGGTAGCCGTAGCATCCATAGGTGCTATTGGGGCATGAAGAGCAGAGTGAGGCCCAATAGCGAGGTCTTGGTAACCATGAACCCTTCCCGAGTGAGCAAATGGAATCCCGAACGATCCTAGTGAAGAATCATAAGTCGCTTATTCAAAAAGTTCATTTCGGCTGCTGTATGGTTTTTTGTCAAGCTTTTCGATTCCTGTTCATATAGCATGAATGCATGCATATCGCGATCGGTGCTGTGCTCACTTCCTCTCACATATGACCATACTCGACTGTGTGATTTACTCTAGTCTAAACCAAACTATACTTTCGTTAGGCCTAACTTTTCTGGCTTGAGATTTCTAGAAGCGAAACAGTTCCAGTAAAGTACGAAATGATATATACAGCCTTATAGGTTTTATTCGAGTGTTTAATGAGTAATGGGGATGTTGTATGAAGGAGTCGTGACGACACTAATGCCAATGGGTCTGCCTTCATGTAATTTCCGTTATTTTCTTTCCGGTTGCCATTTGTGTATCATCAATTAGCTGATCAATACAGGGTGAAAGAAAAAGGTATGTCCACCGTAATAGTAGGCAATGGTCATAATATCGCAGAGAGCTTCGGAAATTCTCGTTTTTTTAGCGTATCAGTGTATCTCTGAACACGTGGGTTGGTTGGATCAGGTGTGGCGCAGCGTCAGTTTATGGCTACGACTATGTTTACCATCAACTCGACTTGGTTTACGTCCCTAATGGCAAAGATGTGAACACAGTATATAATATTTAGTTCGAAAATAGTCGGGGGGGGGGGGGGCCCGACTTCAATTCCCTACCTCTGCAGTATTACAGTGCTAGGGAATTTATTTTGCTTACACTGCCATGCCCTCCAGTGCGGCGTCATGAATTTTTGCAATTAGTTTGAAACTGAGACTTTTCAAACAAGAAAAAATACGAGAGAGGACACCATCCGTGTCTATCTCATGAGGTTGATTATCTACGATGAAGTTATCTTAGTTGCTCACCTTTTTTCTACTCCGGTGAGTCATTGGTGCAGGAGGCCGTAAAAAACAAGCATGAAAATGGTTAGCCAGCCACAGCTTTTCAGCACGACCGAAAAATACCTTAGAGCAAAACTGAACTATGGGAAGCACTGGGGGGACCGTTCTTCCATACCAGACCCTCCACCTTTCCAAACATCCAGTGCGAATGGAGACAGCAATATTCAATTTAGGTGAACACTGATAAAACGACTCGAAACCGATATTAATAGTTTGCCTACATCCCCGGCTAATGCCAGAAAGACAGCCTATTCGAATCTCAATAGGCATTCGCCCAAGAAAAAGTGACCCAATCGGCCGCACATTTCGATCAGACAAGAATTTTTGAGAAGTCAGTTTGACCAACTGACTGACCTGACCCATCTTTCCACCTCATCAGAACGCAGGACCATTCATCGTAATATGGGTGACTAACTACTTATATGACTTGGAAGGCTACTTTTATGACTTGAAAAGGTTCAAAAACTCCGAGTTCAGAAAAAAAGCGATGACAACAACATCAAGGACCTCTAAAGTTCGCCAAGTGCTTCATTATACTTAAACGTTGTCCGGTGGAGCATCCTGGTTTGGTGGTATAGCCCAATGCAAGCGTCTCTTATTCGGTTGACTTTGCCTACGCAGCACTCGCTAAACGACGTGAATTTGTTGCTCTACTCTAAGGGTACCCCGCCTACAGGATTTGGGCTTGACTTTATAGTCGCTACGCTAAATTTGCGGTCCCCTTTTTCCATCACTTATTTCAATTCTCATCTTTCCAGAAGCATTATTAAATTCTACGCTCGACCACGCATCGACACCTTTTTTTTTTACAGGAACTGAGTATGGAGAAATGCAGACAATCACTTCGCACAGAATTATTCGTGCCTGTCAACGAGTATAAGGTTGGCTGCTGAATATCTATTATATGAACGTCAAGGATTTATAATTGTAGACAAGGTCTCTTAGAAGTTACAGTTGGACGCTTTACGCCTCCTCTCACTCATTTTCACTCTTAATCGATACACCCTACTCGTCAAGCGTTCCTGGATGACGACGTCTTGCCTTGTCTCTCATGGCAAATATGTATACGTTAGCCAAAAAAGTGGGAACTGGTTGAAAACAACCACATACTTTGTAAGTAGGCACTTTCGACACTAGTGCCTTTTAGGCTCTGCCTTTGGAAGGAGCTCAAACCTGGTGAAGATGTTGATCTGGCGCGAACTTATTAACGTGGGAGCTCTATTAGGCCATAGAATAGCATGAATGCTCATAAACAGTTTCACATTCCATACAAAAGCAACTTGTCGGGTCGAGACAGATGAGAAGAAAGTAAATCAGCGGCAGGCAGCAAGCAGCTGTTTTGAAGAGGTTTGCGTGAGCTTCATGGCGATATATGTTAAATTATTAGCAAGCATAAGTGTTCAGTCATTCAGTGCCGAGACACATGAACCTATAAACGTTCCCACTGCTGTTCAAACACCTTAGCACCCAGGCGATAATCGACTGCACAGAAATCACTGAGGTGATTGAATTGTTCGCAATAGCCGGCTAGACTTTGTACTTCACCCAGCTGAATAATATTAAGTGTGTGCATTAATTTCCGCCGCCGAATTCCAAGGGCCGTTGCGCGGACCATGTTAGAGGTTTACCAGTGAAACATGTCATGTTCTGTAAGGTAGGGTAATGGCTACCTACTTAAGGGCACACAGATCAGTTTTGCCCCAAAATCCTGTTGCTCTCAGACTGATTGGTCATGGAACGTGATGAACCGTTCCCCCGGGGGGCCCTTCCCCTGCTGTTTGATTTCAAGAAAACTGGCATTGAAGCCCACCGGATGCTACTATGGAGGACAAGCTTCATCTGAACGAACCTGCTGAGATAGTTTCTCGTCACTCCAGAGCTTGCAACGAAAGCTGAATGTTTATTGCCAAAAAGTAATGCTGTGCGTGCATTTGGTGACGGGATCAAAAGGGTGTTTTGAACTATTAGCTGCTGAGCTCGAACGAAACTGTTACTGCTGACCTGACCGCTACGAACACCAACTTGACAGTTTGTGGGATGCTCTCACTCAAAAGTTCACCTTAATCGCAAGAACATATCATGAGGTGCTGTTCCACCACGAACATGTCAGGCCCCATGTTGCAAAGAACGTTCTTTAAAAAATTGCAGTTGTTGGACGGGATCAGCTTGTTCAGCCCGCATACTCTCCGGAACTTGCTCTTTCTGATTACCACCTATTCCGGTCAATGCAAGTCAGTTTGGCAGATATACGCTTCCGGAATGCCGAAGAAGTGTGAAAATGGGTGGATAACAAGATTGTCTCAAAAGATGAAGAATTTTTTAGACCTGGAGTCAACAAGATGCCAAAAAAATGGCAAGAAGTTGTAGCTAACGATAGAAAATACATTGGTTAATGTACATTTGGTTTTAATTTTGTAATAAATATGTTTTTGCACGCAAAAACGGCGGAAATCAATGCACACACTTAATATATCCATTGCTCTTGAAGACAGCATCCGGAGCAGCACGGATGGTATCTATCAAGAAACTATCCAAGCGGCTACATTTTAGTAATCCTACGTCGGGGGCCGAGATAAGCGCTTCACTGACACTGCATCGCTCACTTTTCGCTTTAAAAACTAGGTAGTGCATCAGTTCGTCGTCGTCATCCTCATGTTCGAAATAATTCATGCCCTGCTAGATTAGCTGGAAGCAGAGGAAGGCAAAATGGTGCCGCGTTCATGTTGGAGAAGCAGTGAGAGAAGGTATGCTCTCGAGATCCGTGTTAGGCAGGAGTTTTGCTTGAAAAGAAATCGGAGAGAGAGCACAGAAAACAGAACAGCTACGTTGCATATTTATACATTATACATATATTTATAGTGCTTTTTCCTAGAAAGGTGAAGGGCTTGGTTGGTCTGGGCGGGAATCAATGTGGATTGGAACCTGGGGTCATGGGGGGACGGAACTTACGTGCGTCCGAGGGTGCGCGCGGCAAATTGCGCGGCAAAGTTCGGGACAATTTTAACGGCTTTAGCGCCTATAATTGGGGCCCGATTTTGAACTTGAGTGGATTAGTAGGATCGTCTGACCATGATAAACTACTCCACTACAAGTTTGTGCCCCAATAATAGGCGCCAGCGTCGCTCGAATCACCGTGACCTTCGCCGCGGAACTTGCCGCGCGCATCCTCGGACGCACGTATGTACCCATACCCGGGGTCATGCGTGCGATAGTGCGTCCAGGGTGTGGGACCATTCGTACGATTCTGGGCGGCAATCTGCGCGGTGAAATCCGTGGCGATTCGAACGACTCTGGCGCCTACTGTTGGGGCACAAACTCGAATTAGAGTGGATCAGTAGGGTCAGCTGATACTTCTAATTTACTCTACTTCAAATTTAGGCCCTAATAATAGGCGCTAAAGTCGTCAAAATCGCTACCAATTTCGCCGCGCAATTTGCCGCGCACAGTTCGGATCGCACGAATGGTCCGTCCCTCGTGCGTCTACACACCTCCGCACATAGATCAATGCGCTGTCGAAAGTGACCACATGTCTTTGTCCGATGGGCTAACACGGTGTTTTGTGCATTATGCTGCAATCGCACTTGCGATG